TTTTTCGTTCATTTTTGTTACACAAGATCCTGTGATCTAATTGGTCGATCATATTAACCTGCGATATAGCAACCTGCAATATTTAACATTATCCTTTTCATAAACCAGTAAAAGCTTTTTTTTATTTATATTGTTGGATTTATTTGGATTTTGGTTCCAAATTTTTGTCGGTACCCCAATTAAGTCAAAAATTACTGTAACGGAAACGTGATCTTACAGGTAACACCGGATCAGCAGATTTTTATAACATCGAATTTAGTCTACCGATTGTTAAGAACACTAAATGGAACAAAACACGATCTCGTCAATTTATTCAGCCTTGGAAAATGTACCTCTTATTTTGGCACCACAGTTCTCCGCATTACAACCGGTAATATTAAGCTTATTTAATAGACGTTGCTTACTTAAATCTTAACACGATCTAAATTTTTTACAGGTAACAATGCCTCATGATTTTACTCTTGATCTACCTCCTGTGGTAAGCATTCGATAATGTTATCAGTTTTTTTAATAAATGCCATTTTTATCAACATTTATATTAATTTGATTTTGACCATTCAGAATAAGTATGACTTTAATCTTGAACGTCATGTTATCGCTGATTCAGAACGATTTCGGCAGGAAAATGCCGCTTTGATGCAAGTACGAGCCCAGAAACTGCAAGCTCTTCAGGATGCGCGCATCCGTAAGCAAAAAGAGGAAGCCAGAAAAATAGCTCCTGGATTCCTGGATACAGATCGAAGACTTTTAACTCCCGTACAAATGCACACACCGTCTAAGCGAACTAGTCAGCAAGTAGAAAATGGTAATGTACCCGCTGGTGAAGTTAACAATGACAATCAGAAAGTGTCACACGGGCGTTCTGCATCAGATGAATTGCCAAATCACGTTGTAGAACGAATGAAATTAAAAGAAGAGGGTGATGTAGAAGAGGTAAATGAAATCATCGTGTGCATATATCATTATACTACACATTGCAATGCTAATTTTATTAAACTTCTAACCTTTTGTGTCATTACCATTATTGTTATTCGACTATATGTGATATGATTTGGCGCAGAGTAAACCTGCAAAATCACTGGTTT